GGGAGTTCAAAGGTATTTACCTATATTTCCCTGATAAAACTGAACTGAACTCTCAAAAACGCGCTGCATATGCATGGACTGTTGACGATGCTTATGACAATAAAGTACACAACAAAGCTTTAACTGTCATTTCAAGCACGCCCTGAGGCTCAACAGTTTCCAGACCGCAGGGCGTAAACAGCTACTTTACTAATTAAAGTTAGGTAAAGATAAGTAAAGATAAGAATACCTACTGGGGCCGCAGAAGGGTCTTTATGTATTACAAACAACTACTTACAATTTTAAAGTAGGTTGAATTACCACAATATTCCAGTTTTCTATACGCCGGTCCTTGATTCAGTAGAGGTTGGCTGATGCCACTGACCTACGGAGGGGTCCTTGGAAGACCACCATATACAATGACCACTTAAGCCAGTATATTAAGCAGAAATGGTTTTTCGAATTAACCACGGAATAATCGCTTACTTACGAATTTTAAATAGGGTGAATTCCACAAGCTTCCAACTTCTGCACTCGTTAACCTTTATTCTAATTGGGGTTAGTGGTACTACTTGAAAGTGTGCCCCTAATCCACTGTAGGTAAGGCATGGGAAAAGGAATCTCTAGTAGTACATATGACCTTACGCCAAGTTTTAGGGGATTAGGAAAACAACTAAGTTTAGAGTTAGCGTTAACTTTATTTCAACTTTCTGCTCATGTATCAGGGCGGGCTTCAGAAACTGAGCGGCCATCTTTTCTTAGCTCTATTGTCATGTTGCGCTTATTATTTAAATATATAAACATCCGTTCCTCTATTTTGCTCATTGTACATGGATTTTTACCCTCCAATAACTTCAATAATAAAATCATCTGCACACTATGCCAGAACCATGTTAAAGGAAGGTGGCTGCAGTCTTCTCCCATTACACATCGTTTGAAGTAACCCTCATATCTGCTTTATTTTACGATATCATTAATGTCTGCGAATTACCGCGTCTCATAAGGCGATAAGCGTAAGAGATACTTTGATGTGCTTAATACAAGAAAATCTTTAGTCAATACACACTTGAAATTGACCTCCAATCACAAAAGCCGAGACAGGCTCCCTGCGCTACAGACATAGAAAGCTGAAACTCAAAAGACTTTCGATTAGGCAGACCCCGTAGTAATCGACACATCCACAATTCCAGCGTAAGAAACTCTGTAACTTTGAGGCTTCCACTGACATTTTCCTGCTCCTCTTTCGATTAGTCACGCATCAATAACTTTCTGTTAGTTGGACTTGCTGTCTGCACATCCAAACTATGATCGCGTTTCCCTCTACGAAGTTCATATTGAGACGTAAACTGTGATGTCTTCCAAAGGCCTAGTAATCAACCACCGATTGGTTCCATCAGGCGAATTCTGTTTTGGAGTAAGAAAACGAGCACTACTCCTCTGTCCTTTACGTGCTATTGTCAAACTTTCCGTGCGCTAATTATCAATGATAAACTTCTTTTGCTGAGAAGGATGAATTACGGACGTACTTTCCCATAGTCATGAGCTTCAAATGCTCGTTCATTTCGTCGAAGGTCGGTCTGTGGTCCGGTTTTTCGGACCAAGCTCGCTGCATGATTTCTAGATACGCTGGTGGTATATCCGTCTTGGCAATCTAAAAATAATGGACCAAACAAGTCAACCAATTTAGCACAATAAAAAGTGTCGAATGTCATTAAGTAGGCGAAAGGGCTTTTTTAACTAACATATCACATCGACTTTTAGGCGTTTTGAAAAACCTTGCATCAGCAGCACCCTCTAATATTTGAAAATCCTATTGTCAGGTAACGGGTGCTGTAATAATGCATAGACAGACCATGCTCTTTAATGGATATTTGTTTTAAGTTACATCCACAAAGTAGGTACTCTCCTTGACTTTAAAATGCGGTTTCTTAACTAAACAGGTGAAATGCGTATCATTTAAGTAAATAACTAACTGGTGTACTCGTATAAGGTGGGATAGGTAAAAAGGAGTTAGCTAACAAAATTTCATGTATAAATTATGAATAACTGTATAATGCTTGATGCAAAGCCAAGGGTGTGGTTGAAATATTTCGAGAGGATGACTCATTTGACCTTGTCATGGCGGCTGTGGCACACACAGAGACGGAACACTGGTGCAGTCGACGGCACTGGGAAACATGTATGCGCAAGTCACTGTCGCCAGACTCGTTATGCTGCGGATACACAATGGTTAGGTAGTGACCAACTCTGAGTACAACGCTCAACCTGTCGCTTCTCGCGATCGCCTGTACGTGCGCACAAGTGTCTTCCGACCCCAATATGGTCTGGCCAATCAGCTCCCTGAGGCTGGCTCGCTCATGACCTGGCTGTGGCGGGTGCCGCACTCTCACACTAAGGAAGCCACCGCTTCCGGGAATGGACGAACGCACAACAGAATACCATCTTCCTCCAACCTATTCTTCACTAACTCGGTACAGAATAAACTATTTCTTTCACCTGGCTCCCAACCTCTCCTCTCTACGGAACCGGGCCTGGAGATGGCAGCGGCAAGGGTCTCCTCTGTTACCTTAAGCCAATGCGATAGATATCGTCGTCCTCGGCTGTCGAAGTGTCTTCTGGGTTCGTATCTTGAGAAAACTGTTACCTAAGAAAGATCAGGGTCTGGAGTGGTCTAGTTCGATCAGAAGCTCGAGTCTAGCGAGGGAGAAAGGGCTTAGTAAGCACGTCTGCGCATGTCTCCGACTTTAATACAATTATCTATGATTAAGGATTCTCGACAGAATCCGCAACGTCAGGAAAATAAAACTCTTGTACCAGTGATCGCATCTTCTTCTTCTGAACTGCTTCCTGGAACTCGCATATTCTCCTCTATTGGCGATGTCTCAGCATACTTATTCTCACAAGGTTTGTATGCGTCTGGTGAGAACGTCTATGACATACCCTTGTTTATAATGCAAAAGAACATTCCTACCTCTGGACGAAAGAGAGGATCTCCCGCCCAGACCTTGCCGATTATCTCCTCCGCAGGTGTGTCCGGTAGTCCATAGGGAGCTGTACGGAAGAATATCTCGTGCAGTACGATGGCGAATGAGTACACGTCACCCCGTTGTGTTCCAACGAAGGCTGCGGCCTCGTCTCGTAGGAGTTCGGGTGCGGTCCACAACTGGTCTGAAATAAATGAAGCAGTAAAAGACCAAACTCGACCTTTTTTCCAAAACAACTGTTAAGCGTATTCAACTTCTAGAAAGTAATATGGATAACGCGTTTTTGAAAAAAACGTGAACTCTGGTTAAAGTCGGACGGGAATTTTGCGAGTACTGCCAGACTGAGTTCATTGCCAAGATGACAGCATTGGCAGTTCGCATAGAAATTAACAGTGACTCAGTCGATCTTTGTCGTTTTTTATCCTTTTTTCGTATATTTTTAAGATGGAACTCATTTCTTGTAGTTCATTTCATGAATTTATCAACAGATTATTAGTGTACCACAACCAGTTAATTTGAGCGTTTCACGAATTGACCACACCCAAAATTGATGAGCCCCTTCTCTGCTTATTTATCGGGAAACAAATCTACGATCGACAATATGAAAATGAATGATAAATATCACGTAATTTTCAATTCACAATCAGCATTTAGAAAAAGAAAATGATGCCCCAACTCTACATTTATATTTGGTAGGTGAACGGTAAACTAGGCTAGTTTTGTTCTTTTTTAAGTTCCCCTAAAAATAGGAAGTACGTAATGGTGTTCCTCTGTCCCTTGAAAGCAAATTTCAAGTTTAATTCTAGCACAAATAAGCGATGTGAACTACCAGGCTGACACGAGAGCGGTCTTTATGGCGCCTACCAAGTACCAGCAGACTACTCTAAAGACCTTAACAAACAAGTGCAGGCCACAGCCAAGGCAATGGCGATTCGTTTAGCAAAAACAGCTCTTTGCCATCAAAAGAGGAAAATACATGTGGTTTGTCTCCTTTGGCAGACTACAGATGGGAGTCGCATGCCGCTCCAAGCCCCGGAGGACAGTCGCACTGCGAGTGCTTAACCTTCAAGTCTGAACCGCAGCCTACCGTGAGCACGTCCCCTCCATCCCCCGAACTCCGAACCCTTATGTCCTCTATACGCGGCTTCCGTCATGCAGGAGACGTGAAAACGCAGAAGGCAAAAACCCCCTTATCTCTCCCCACTCCCTCCCCAACCCCGGGAACCATATCAGCCCTGTTCCTAATCGGCTACTTTATTGTCCATGTCAGCGTAAAGGCTTGATGATTAGTGAGCGAAAACGATCGTCTGCAAAAATTGCCTTTTTTAAGTTTTGGATTAAAGTACTGGAATCTGCATCTACTGGCTCTAAACGACGAATCAGATCAAACAGTGCCGCACAATGGAAAGCCCAAAGTTATCATCGTAATCGATAATTTGACATCGTTTGGACTGCAATCAATTACACCAGCTAAAAACGCAAGCCACGAGGGATAGCCTCTTGCCTTTATCCTCCAATTCTTATATCCTCAAACACACTAGTCTTGGGTCACCGGAACTCTGTGAAGATTAAAAGGGTGTGCCTAGTTGTGTAATCCGAGTTCACAAAAATCCACTGCCTTGCAGAGGGAAGACTACGTGTGAATTATTTATTGGAATCTTAAGAGAAACGTCAGGGTAATCATTCATTTAAAAAAACGAAATTTGCATAGATTTTTAATCACGTTTTACGATAAAATTAAAGTAATAAAGTGCAGGCGCAAGTTGAGTACTCTTTGCGTCAGAGGCTAATGTTTTTTAATTCAAACTCCTCCCCAGTTTGTGATGTTAACTACGTTAATAAAACTTACCACCACAAAGAATACCACACTGAAACGGTCCCTGTTGTGAATAAAATAGACAAGACTCCTCTCACCTTGTTCATGCATAGGGCTGGTATGTTCACTTCTCACGAATTCATCTACCCATGCTGTAGGAATAAATATTGGTGTTGCTCCGAAGTATGATTCTAAGCCATTCATAGTTTATGGCATCAAATATACTGCTAGTATCACGAATCCTATAGTTTGTCGAAGGTATTGCTCTTGATACCCATGCGTTCAATTATTGTCCGTCTATGAGAGAGTACAAAATTCACTATGGGCCTTTATGAATTCAAACTTGGAGTATTATCGGTCTTAAGTGAACAAAACTTTGATCCTGAATTCGATATTGAAAGACACTGTACTTCACCTCTGCCTATTGCATTTTTCTGATATTTTGAAACGCATTAAGCTAGAAGGTGTATCATGGTCAATAAGAACAAGAAGAAAGATAACCTAATTAGAATAAAGATCCATGGTTTTCGACTGCGCAGGGGCGCGCACCGCAGAGAATGTCAGCTGAGCAAGCAAAATTGCGTTACAGGATTTCAAGTACTCAAAAGTGTAGATATCATTTTTACAAGGTCCCTGCTATAAATTTGAAGAATGTGGGGTCTACAATTTGGTAATGAATTTGAGGATAAAATTTAGAGTTTATTCTCTCAGTTATAAGGAAAAACAATAGCGTTGCTAAAACAGTTTTAAAATCACAGGTCAGTCATTGACGGCAGCCGACATCGTTATCTGGTGGGCTGCATATGACAGCATCGATTTTTGCTACCGACTCGGCGAAAATACTAACAGTTCGGTGAGATATACCTAAGGTTTGACTAAGCCTACGAAGATTCCTCCTTGCCAGCAGACATTGTCTGCAAATGCAGATTTAATATTGCAAGAAGCTAGAAGATTTAGGATCGAATTTCCTGTCCATCCGGCTTCAACAACAATATCTCCATTTTATTGCAAACTATAACAACTTTTCAACGTTATTTTGAATAACTGACTGTGTAAAGCTCTGAATAGAAGAGAAATACGTAGTTGTGCGTAGCTATGCCAAAATATATTAGCGTCTGCTGTAGAAAGGGACTCCATTCCGCCGACTTAAATTTGACAATTCAGAATTGGTATCTAATAAACAGTGTAAATATTCACATCTGGTAACTACACTGCGTGACAGATACACAGTTAATCGTCAAAAACCACTTGTTACCTTGGGCAATTTTAGACGGAATTGAAGCCGCGAATTGCATAGCCTTATGGCGACTTGCAGCAGTATTCTACTGCTTTCCCCGTAACGACCTGCTTTGGTTTCGGTCTCAGTTTTTTGCTGGTCGGGAGCGGGATGGACAAAAATGTCAGGCCTTCCGATTGGAAAAGTAACCTGGGCCAGATATCAGCATTCCGGTGCTAATTATTATTTGGTCGTCTACGACTATTCACCGCAACTATACTTTGGCTAGTCAAATAAGTTAATTTTGCTAATTATTTAGACAGAGAGTGAATACTTGCTCACCCTCGGGCATTTCTGGCGGGTAGTTATTGTATAAGGCATAAATTTCGGGTATGCCAAAGTCCGTAATCTTTAGTACCCAGCGGCCGTCAATAACGCAGTTTCTGGACTTTAGCCTCCCGTGGACTCGAAGGTTTGAGCCGTGAATGAATTTCATGCCCTGAAAGGAACAAAAAGGTGTTAGTAGAAGGTTTGACTATCAGCTCTTCTCTTTACGACTTTTGAAATTGGCCAGTCCTATGGAAATGTAACTTATATCAGCCATTTCAAATAATTTGAACAGTAATTTTATATATTCCCCCCAAATCACGAGATCAAGTTTTTCAACGGAACACCCACTGTCTACGGAAAAAAATCTTGCAGGAAAATAAGGCCACAGGTCTAAATCGACTTAATAAAGTCAAAATAACGCGCATTATTCTATAAGCTGTTGGAGCTTTAATTACGACATCATGGAAACGCAACATGCTAACCTTTCACCTCGAAAATTTGACAAAGACGTATCCAGACTCAACAATCGTATGTAGACGCACCTTAATCAGGTCGGTCAAAAGAGACAACTTGAATTCCCAGTCGAGATTAATGCTTTTCTTTGCGATCATATCCTAAAAGTAAAATTACAGTCTTTCAAATGATCATATTAGACATTTTTTGGAGCTCAGGCACTGACTGAGTAACAAAAGGAATCAGAATAAAATTGACTACGTGAAAAAGGCTTACTGCTGTTTAAAGCAAAAAATTAACAAAATATATAGCGTCTGTGAACCATAGACGCCTATATTTTTATATATTTTAAACGCTAGAGATAGCAGTTTTTGACATACACTGCATAAGTTAAACAAGACTAAAAGCTAAGGTATTGGAAATGAGCACTATTTTAGATGCTTTCACCCAAGAACGGCAGCGAAGGCAGATGCCTGAAACATACAGCCTAATAAGATCGCGACTGTTAATGTGGGTCAGCTTTCTATGAATGCTTACTCCGCACACGCACGCTAGTAATCAGAAAATTTACATGTGCGTGGATCTGCAGTACGTGGAGAAAATGCTGAATTCAAACATTCAACAAGCAAGTGCATTTTCTTGGGCACTATATCGACAGTATTTTACGGCTTCCAGAAGGAGGGATTCATTCATGAATTCTATTGTGAACAGATAATGTGCAATCAACGAGTCAGGTTGGCCTAATTATCAACGAGCTGTGTGGAGACGCAAATATTTGAGGTCTGGGAGTATTATACTCCACAGCAAACGACGGATTTCCGCTCCGCGAGCATCGGAATAATTTATACGACCTTTCGAATTTGCTAATCAGGTCATCATCGGATAAAAAAGTTACCAGTAACAATTCAGTACCAGTAAGGGGGGGGG